CGAAAATCCATCACCTTCCCCAGGCCGTCACAGCGATGCAGCCACTCGCTGTGCTGTGATTTCCCGGCCAGGGAGGGGAGCTGCTGGCTCCCAGATAGAAACGATCCCAGCACAGCTCGCTGTTGCACTGTACATCCTCATGCTGTGCTTCATTTGCAGACCAAAGCCATTCATCAATGACACCATTGATTTGTTACCCTGTAGTAACAAACGTCTCACTCGGGGCACAGTTTACATATGTGTGTGTGTGAGTGTGGAACCATTTGAACGGTTGTGTCTGTCAGTTTTTCTGGAATTCACCATCACCTCTGGGTCTGCTACACACACACACACACACACACACACACTGACATATACATTTTTTCCTTTTGCAGCCCATGTTTGAGGGCTTAGCTTTAAGAGGTTTACTTTTTAGCTCTTTCTTTCTCTCTCGCTCTTGTGTGTGTGTGTGTGTGTGTGTGTGTGTGTGTGTGTGTGTGTGTGTGTGTGTGTGTGTGTGTGTGTGTGTGTGTGTCCTCTCCCATGTTCACTTAGCTCTCCAGCCTTCTCTTTCTCACCCTTCGCCCTCGTCTCTTTTCTCCCTCGTATTTCTTTCACCTCTCTACGCTCGTCTTACGCTTTCATCTCTACGCACCGAGCTACACCGGCTTCTCTCTCACTCCTCCTCGCCAGGTTTAAATTTAGATGGGAGTTTCTCTCCACTGTATCCTGGCAACCTATTCCCCATATGCAAAAAAAGAAACACCAGGGCTGAAGTCCTCTTCATTCTCTCTCCTCTCTGTATAGTTTTTCTCCTTGGTCCAACAACATGTGTTTTCTGGGTTGTTTTGCACTTAAACCAAAGATATGAAGTCGTGTTGTCATGTGGCGTGTGCGCATGTGTGTTGGGTGGGGGGAATGCTCTGGCCCAGAAAACCTAGAGTATTATTTACCCCTGGAGTCAGGAGCTATGCTGACATAGAGGGCAGGCAGCCTACTAAGAGACCAGAACGATGTATGCACACAGCCAACCAGGGGCTGAGTTTCCAGTCAGTTAGTAAACCAGTCAGTCAGCTAACTGGAGGGTAATTATCTTAAACCACCACTTAAACCAAGCGACTCAGAAATCAGTACACACACACACACACGCGAGGTAAATTAGTTTGGAGAGAAGCACTGACGAGTTGAGAACATACTAACATCTATTCATTCATGCAGGCTTCCTGCTAATCATTAATTAGAGGACGTGTGTGTGTGTGTGTGTGTGTGTGTACAAGAACAGGTGCAGTTCCTATAAGTGGCAGTAGCAGCCCACAGTCAGTTTAATTTATCGCTCAGCCAGCTGGGTCCTAATTATGAATCTGTGCTTGCACACTCCCTCTCTCGCTCTCCCTTTGTTACTCGTACATAAGGCTGCAGAACAGAACACATGCATTAGCGCATGTGTTCACCTGCTGCAGGACACGCGTGCACCTTTGTGCATCTTAAATACACGTGAGGCTGTAAAGTACACAGCCATTAACACGCTGTAGGAAATACCACTCTCCTAACAGAGATAAAGTAAATGCACATGCCATGACAACCCAGCTCAAATATTTGCCCTGAAAAGTGAACCCAAGCCATTCCTTCCACCAGGCCACAACAAGCTCGGCAAAATCAAATGAGCATGAATGGTTAATGAGAGGCTCTGGTTGAAAAGGGGATTGGTCCACAGCCTGAGAGCATCTGCCTGTGTGGCACAACACTGGGCAAAAAAGGATGATTTCCTAGCAGAGCATAATGAAGTTGCTCGCCTGAAGGTGCCAACATTCAGCTTACTGCTCTTTTAACCTTTACTAGTATCATGTGTGTGTGTGTTTAAACTTGGGTACACTGTACGCATTTTTCTCACCTGTCACTGTGGGCACAGTGTGTGCACATGCGTACATGCACATCACATATAAATGTGGACAGGGAGCAGTGTGGGTATCTGTCACAGCAATTTCTTGCGGGTAAATAATTCCCTAAGAGCAACACCCAGATCCACGCACTCGACCTCTGCCAACACGAACGTCGCCATCTAGTACAAGTCCAGCAAGAATTCTTCATACTGTCTGTTTTCGTCTCGTCAAGCAGCGTCTGGCCGTCCTGCTCTCTGTCTGTCCCATCACAGCATTGTTTCCAAGGCAGAACCAGTGAACTGGGGAATATTGCATTAATACTGGCTGCTGTTTCTGCCCCAATAAACAGCCCAGTCGGGCGGTGGGAAAATATCCTCTCATTCTCTCTCTAACTCAACTGTCTTTATCTGTCTACATGCCTCTAGTGTCAATAAACGGATATTTTGGGATACAGGGTATATTAGCAATATCTCTTGGTTTTTGATTTTCTTTTCACATGTGACTGTGGTATAGTTATTAGTCTAGCAGCTATGGAAATATTTCGTATTACTCATTCTGCACTGTTTCAGAGTCTTTAGTGAAAAAGTTGCATTTTTCAAATTTCAATCATGCAAAATGTGGTACCGAGCAAGTAAATGCCAACTATCAGTGACTTTGAAGTGTTGTTTACAGATGCAGCATTTCAAAAAGGTTTACACGCTTTAAAGAAATAATTTCTCTCCAACTGCAAATCACTGCAACAGCTGTTTCCATCCTCAATCTGAAATCACGTCCCCTTGAGCACTGGTTACACACCATAAATCTAACAACACCCTGGAGTTCAGCCATTTATATCTGAGCCAAAATCTGACCAGAACAAAGAAAGACTTGTACAGAAGTCACTATATTACATAAATGAAAGGAAAAGCAAAAAGGCTTTGTTTTCCTCGGTGTTAGTGAGATTATTGAACTTTGCTGAATTTCATGAAACTTAGTGGAGAGGTGGACTAAAGTCAGAACTTAGAATTTTGATGTAAATCTAGGTTATAGTCTTTCAAACTGTGAAACGGTGCTTTGACCTTAGAGGAGGATGTGCAGTGAGTACCACCAGGAAGTGCATCCATGGAAATCCAGCTTGGATTAATTTGCACTAAAGCACAAAGAGACTTGCAGTCAGTCCTCATTTATCTACATAGAGTTACTATTACTAAACTAATGCTAATGTGGCTAGCACTACTAAACTAAGTGTTAGCCACATTAGTTGGCTAACACTTAGTTAGTGAACTGTCCTGCTAGGGGTGGCTGTGGCTCAGAGGTAGAGCAGGTCCTCTTCTGATTGGAAGGTTGGTGGTTCAGTCAACCTTCCAATCAGATGTTCGATCCATGGCACCCCCAGCCTACATGCCAAATATCCTTAGGCAAGTTAATAACCCCAAGTTGTTCTCCGATGCATTTATCGGATTATGAATGTGTGTGAACGTTAGCTGGAAAGTTGCTTTCAGAACTGCACATGATTATTTGTAGCTAGCAGGGTGTTAATGCTACCATCAAGTCTAACAGGCTGCAGTCTATGAACTAACTTCATCAACGCCAGCTAACAATGTTTGCTCAGTGGCAGTACATCGAATATATACTGAAGAGACACATAACCCAGGTAGCTACCACATATAAAACAAGCTAGCTGCAGTAGGCTAACGTTAGTTTTTTAAAAAGAATTTACTTCCAGATGTTTCTTTAGTCTTTTGACATTGAGAGCAGCTCGGTTGCTGCAAACAGAGTTTGCATTGGGTCAGATTTCATCCCTTTCTTCTTTGAATATGAAGTGGTGTCAGAGTTTCCAAGTAAGAAATGCGTTCCTGCACTGCTGGCTCTGTTGTACTGGCTCCGGGTGCATTGTGTAACTGACACCACCAACATTAGAGTCTGCTATTGTGTGTTTTGTTTGGGTTTCCGGCAGTGCGTTACAAAAATTAGAGAGGGGATAGTCTAACATATGAAACAGGAAAAGACCGCCGTGTAATCCATTTATTTCAACAAAGTAACTGTATTCTAATTATCACCTATTTAAACTGTAACTGTAACAGAATACAGTTACTCATATTTTGTATTTTAAATACGTAACGCTGGTACATGTACTCCGTTACTCCCCAACACTGACCATTTATAAGAATCAGTCCATTTACTGTTGACATAATACAGTAATCTGCATGGTCTGTAGTTCCTCAGCTGTAGAGAAAGTATGAAGACTCTTTTTCTTTTTTGGTTGGTTTGCCAGCAGTACCAACTCGCTGATAGTCGGCTTGTACAGAAAATAACAAATTTGCTACCTTGCACAAAGATTTTAGAATTCTTTTATGGCACTGAGTCTTGTTGAGCACAACATTGTGTTCATTTTGTAAGTTGTAGTCTTAATTATTGTAGTGGAGCATGGTAAGCTCCTTGGACTCATCAAAACAAGAGACGGCAGAGGCCAAAATGCTGAGTCTTCACAAACCAATGGGTGACTTCACTCAGGCTGCTGCGCACATATTTATATGTGTTTCACTTGAGTTTGAGAATTTGAGAGTTAGCTAACATGTTAGCCAAATTAGCTAAATTAAAAGGTAGACTGTTGTTTGATTAATGTCTTGCCAAGCCAACCAATAGATGGCCACTGTGAAAATGTTACATGCTAAAGGCAGTTTAGGGTACAAATACTGACAAACCTAATTTGTACGTCGTGTCCCTTTGTGACTGTATTTGTGTCTGTGTTGCGGTTTGGGCCCCGGGTGCGTCTCCATAATAAGTTTTGGGCAACACGTGCTCTTCATCATTTATTGTGTTAGGTTATGGTCAGCGTCCTCTCCATGAAATTGTTGCATTTCACGGTTTGTAGTAGTCTTCCACTAGATTACGTAATATTTGAAGGTGAGTCTCAGTGTGTGTGCGTGGGGGTGGGGGGCAACATAACCTATGACAAAATACCAGTACTTCTAACACTGCGTCTTTATACTGCATGCATATTTATGTCATTTTTTCCCATGCTCTCTCTCTCTCACTACCCTGTGTGTATCTCTCTCTCCCACAACTCCTTCTTCTCTGATTATCCTCAGCACAGCATCTCGTATCTTTTGTGCGGAAGGTTTTTTTCCTCTCTCAGCGAAACACCTCCTGGAACACGCATTTTCCAGCTCTGTTTCCCTCGCTTCCTTCTCTCTGCCGCTCTGTTTCAGAGTAGTAGTAATACCAGCAACAGCTGAACAGCATCGTGGGTCCATCTACAACTGATAGAAACCGACTCTCCTGTTGCCATCCTCCATCTCTCTCCTTTTCTCTCCTCCTTCTCCCCTGTTGCATGCTGATTTATTCAAAGATTGCGAGGAGTTGACAGCCAGACACCCGTCAAGAGGAATGCTGCAGAAGTGGAGGACAGTGGAAGAAACTCATTGAGATGTAGTAAGACAAAGGACAGAGTGATGCCGGCAGTAGATTAACAGGGAACCGTTGGGCAGTTGAGGACTGATCTGAGCCTTGCAGAGGGAAAGCAGAGCAGAAAGCGAGCTGGGGTTCAGTTGCATCAGGGTGGAAGCTGTTGAATAGCTGCATGTGACGCTCTCCGTTCTTGAGCCCGAGGGAAAAGGCTCCTATGAGCGAAGAGGACAAGCTGTACCCAGGAAGCAGGGGAATGGCATGATCTCCTCTCTTTCATGTGACTTCTGACATCATCTCGAGGCATGAGACTTAGTCCATGCCATGCTACTCCTTGTGGACTGCCTCTGAACAGTGACATCCTTGTCATCCCAACACTATTTAAGGAAGTCACAGAGTTGGTTCATACTGCAGGCAGTCACGGAAACCCAGCGGGCCGCCCTGACCCTGACCCCTCTGCGGTGAGCTGCCGTTGAGGACCATGGTCCTGCCGTTGCTGCTGAAGCTCCTTAACGTCTTCCTGCGCCAGTCGACTCTCACCAAAACTGCTGCCACGAAACACTGCCACCGCCCGTCCTGCTGCCCGTCTGCTCTGATGCCGCGCCCGCCCGGCCTGCCACTCTCTTGCCGCCGCGGGTGGGAGGCGAAAGAGCACCCACGACGTCTGCCCACCGAAGGAAGAGAGGTGAGGGGGGACGCCTGAGTTATCCAAGGAAAGGGTGATTATGCCATTGGTCTAGAACAGAGAAAAAAAGGGCAGCTTAAGACTAAGTGAGAGTGAGGAAGAGCAGCTAGACTAGGCTGGACTCGATATTCCACTTTTTCAGATTTAAGTTTGTAACTGGAACAAAAATATTCACATGACTGGCAGCTACCATTGGATCAGAGCCATTTCAAGTTGTTGAGTTTGTACATCAACGTGAATGTTAATGTAGTTAGAACATTTGCTAACACCACAAAACAAGGCTGGATTCTGTCGCACTGACCTTTTAAATTTCACACTCTCTTCTCTTGGCGGTGTAGATTCACATGAGCCCATCTGTCTAGTTTGTTGCAAAAGAGACATTGTAGCAAAATCTCACCAGAAGACAATCAGCAAAGCTTTAAAGGATTTTGTAAAGTAGCTAATCCACAATATGTTCCTGGAAATGGTGCAAAGGGAACATTTGACAGTTGACTCTTCCGTTGCTCGAGTGTTTGTATCAGTCCCTTCGTGTTGCTGTTGGTTTGTTCTTTGGCGTGCGGTGTCTTTAGGCTAAACAGAGTCACTGTTTATCATGTCAGCTTAACCAGTTTAACATCAGAGTCTCAATAAATACTGAAGTCAGTGGCCTTCAACTAATGTTTCTAATGAAAAGAGATTTTTCATGCAAAAGTCAAGTGAACTGATGTCTGCAGAATTTGTTGCATAAATGCTGATGATAAATTCTGCTGTACTAAATGTCCTGAGTGGACACCGATCACAATAGCAAACCAGAGAATTATGGAAAGAAAAACAAACTTTATCTTCAAAGAACTGGGGTTTATATTTCTGACCTTGAGCTCTGACGTTCTCATTCAGATTGTAAGGTAGCTTTTTCCTTTAGTGGTGCAAACAGATGTAGAGTGTCTTTTACGTGCGGTTAAAAACGTCAAAACCAGAGATAAGAATTTAATATTTAAAGCCAAAATTATGGATTTGGAATCTGTGAAAAGTTTTCTTTTTTTAAAAAAAAAATGTGCTATTTTACTTTTGGGATTATTTTTGTACAGGACAAACATCTGTGACACACTATGCTTGTGGATTAATGTTATTAGCCTGTTAGCATTGATGCACCTGTTGTTGGCACAGCCTACAGTGTGGTAGGTACATGCATCCTCCCTGAGGACAGAATTCGATGATCTGCTCCTTTAAATTTCCTAACAATGAAGAGCTGCAATGATTCTTGCAATGAGCCACACTGATAGACAGCTCTTTGTGTTGCTGGCTATTGTCAGCCAACTGCATTTCAATAGTGGGTCTAACACGTTCTGTGGCGTGTACAGCAGCAGAGGAGCAACTGATTTCTGCTTTGCTAATGTTGGAATGACCTTCCCTTGTAGTTATGGCAGGTAGTTTCATTTTAGAAAAACAGACACACTTAAAAAAACACACAAACAAACAAAAAAGAAAAGAAAGACCAACAAAGAGACTAAACGTGTCCCACATACAGATGTAGCTTCTCCCGGTGATGTCCATTTTGGCTCATATGAAGGTAGAGAATGTGGATCCTTTTTCACGTGAACCTCATTTCATGTACTCTGCTGTGTTATTTGCCTTATGAATAAAGGCCTCTGAAACAGTGTAGCTGAACCCCCTTGCATGCACTTTGTTTAATGATCACTGTTTGTACAACCAGCTAAAGCTCACCAACCAAGCTAGCAGCCTGTTAAATCTAATACAGGGCATGTGCCATTCATGCTAGCTGTATGCTACGCTTAGCTCAGAGAGAGGAGACATACATACACAGACACAGAAATATAAACAACATGCTGAGGTTAGCTTCCTGTCTCTCCAGTACATCCAGTAGGCACAGATCAACGGTCAAACAAGCAGTACATTTGCCTCGACTCTGCAGAGCGTGTAGTCGTGATGCAGACTGGCAGTCAGATATCCAATTTTGGCTCAGTCTTTTTCTCTTTCTCGCTTTCTCTCTTCCTCCTACACAGCTTTCAGACAGGCCCTGTTTGACACCTGAAAGCACCCTTAGTTTTAAACGTACCTGCTGCCACTGTTAAAAAGTTATGCAAGAGTTTGGCTAAGCCAGAAATAGGACACGACAGTGGATCTGCATTACATAAAAAAATGTTTTGAAGCAATTATAAAGAAAATCCACCCTCACAAATGTACAGTTTCTTTGACCATACATGGGTGTCCCCTCAGCTGTGCCAGCAGCTTTTAACTGGAAGCTGTTTCCGAGCTATCGTTCTTTGATGCTGCTGCACTTCTCATAAAATATGTGCCAGTTACATAAACACTGCGAGTGTTTAAGCATTGTTAAGTTTAACTTGCATTATAAACAGTCTGATTTATTTATGACACAAAGTGTTGCAGACTGCATTCATTCCTGATACAGCTGAACAACCTGACAACCTCAGGCCGCCTAAAAGAAGCTTGTTCATAATGTTGACAGGCAGGTGAATCTCCTCTCAGTGGGTACAAAACACTCGGATCAGTTAAAGATGTTTAGCTCTCCATGTTTTTGGGGAGTAACTCGACCGACTAGCTGAGGAAGTGACAAGCTAACAGGAAGTGACTAATAGCAAACAAGGATCTACGTTATTTTATGAATCCTGAATTTAAACACATTACCTGCATCTTTTTCTCCCTCACAATGATAATCGCGATGAATACTTTGCCTCTTTTGGGTCTCAGTGCAATCCTTCCTGTTTTGGCTTCTGTCGCAGCTTTTCCATCGTGCTTTCGTCGCCCCAAAAACACGCCTGTTGTCGGGGTTTTTGTGATTCGGGGTTTTTTATGCAACTTTGGTTGTTTTGTGTGCTTTTGTGATGTTTTTCTATTTACTGGTGTTTTCTTAAGTTGCAGTGCATGTGACCTCTCAGGGCCACAGTGTAGCTTATAGTATGTAACAGTGTAACATTTTTAAAACTGTAACATTTATATTTGAAATCAAATGGCCAAAATTGTGTTAATTTTTTATACGGGTGGATTTAGTTTGTTAAAGAAAACTTTGAGAAGCTTTTGTGTTCAGAGCTGCGCTGCTATCCAGTTGTTAAGTGATGACGTGACGAATCCTACTTCCGGGTCTAAAGTAGTCTGCGTTTAATATGGCTTTTGTGTTGTTAACATGTTTAATGTTTTGTATTTTCTTCTATTTGATCTCAAAAAGCTCCTAAAACAGTCAGTGATCACTGTTGACCTCCCTCAGCTTTTATTACCGCTAATCATTTATTTAAGCTCAGTTTTTAAAACCTTAGGATGTAACTACAGCCCAGCCCATGCAGCAGTATATGAATGACTAACCTCATATTGTGGATGGATTATCTCAGTTGTTCTCTTGCTGAAGTTTGGTCCTTTTACAGCATTCTGCCATGCGATTACATTTGTTCCTGACCACCGAGAACACTCACGTTAACTTTTATCGAGTGGAAAAAAAGTTAGCTTGTTTATATTATGCTAACATAGCTGTGTCGCTAGCGGTCACGTAGCACATCATTATATACCAGCTAGCCCAACTTCAGTAACCCTACAAACGTCACTGCTGTTTAGTTTTCTGTCTTCATTTATGTTGGAAGTGATAGCAGAGCTGTACGTTTTAATTTGTTTCCAAAACCCCGCAGTCAGGACATGCTATATTGTATTTAGATAGAAGCTAGCGAGCTAACTTCCTGCTAACTTCTAACTCCGTTAAATGTCATAAATTCCGTTTTCATGGATGTTAAATTCAATTGTTACACCTGGTAGAGCAGAACGCTGATCATTTTATTAAAGATGAAAGACTTTAGACAGTTTTTAACTCTCAGTAATGCCACAGTGATCGTTTGATATATGGACCTGCAGCGGAGTTTAGACCCAGACACGGCTAGTGACGTCAGACTTTACGACCGAATAGAAACAGGAGGTGCAGTGAGTGTCAAATACTGCTGATATTAACCACTACATGAAACTACTATTGAAATTCTTCCCACAAATAAGAAAAAGCAAAGCTTGATCTCTGAGGCAGAATGAAGGCGATGGGAAGATGGAGGCAGGAAGCAAGAAGTGCAAGTGTGGCGCTCCTTTACTCTCACACGCTGTAATGTTGTACTGTACAACATGCCTGAAGCAAAGAGCCGCTATACTCATCTGAAGTGCGTCTCGCACACTGGACAATCCCACAATCCAGTGTTGCCCTTCAAAATCCTGGAGGTCCGCTGGAGAACAACAAGCAGGCGTCTGTTGGTGTTTGTTGCCTGCTTGAGCATTTTGTTCGTTTTGTTCCCACACATGTTTTTGTATTTTCGAGTTGTGCGTGTGCATGTGAGGAGCTTAGCCTTCACCAAAGTGGAGGTGTTGAAAATGACGAGCAAAGCATCAGGGGGAAAAATCACACTCATATCTCCTCTGTGTGTTTTTCTTGGCTCGGCTCAGCATGGCTCAGCTTGGCTGGGATTAAGCTTCCCAGCCAGGCTTAATGTGCACCCCCACCCCTGTCACCCAACGGTGGGGGAGATGTATTTTTTGGTGAGAAGTGAGAGGAAGAGGATGGCGGAGGAGAGGAGGAGGAAGGAAGTGATTCTGGGCATCGCTGGGATGAGGAAATGCACCAATTTCCCACGAGGAAGAATCATTTGAATATTGCAGTCTTGTAAATCTATATTCTACTCTTTTGTTTTTGGGGTGTGGGGGGCTCTGCCTGGAGCTCAGCTACCTTCAACCAGATGATTGATCGCACCAGCAGGTTTGTCTCTGTGAGCTGATGACAGGATGAGGTTTGAATCCACCCTGCTCGCTCTCTCTCTTTATTGAAATGTTTTTCAGAATTCCTAAAATGTGATCCCAGCATAGATATTTGTCCTGGGTACACTGGTAAACATTAGTTGGTCTGTGTCAAAAGATGCAGTATATCGAACATCAACACGGCAGTTTGCTTAATATGGTCCTCCTGTCTCGAAAACAGGTCTGACCGATCAGGGCATGGGAATCTGGGATATATCCTGTGGTGTGTGGCACCAGGACACTGGCAGCTGACCTTTAGGATACTGTGGGTTGATCGGGCTTGTTCCGGCACTTCTCTTATGTCTGATCTGATTACTAGCCGGAGAGCTTGTTGTCCAAGTCGGTGCTCCCGTTTCCCTCATGTTCTTTGCATGGTCTTTTCTCAGAAGGTCTCTGGTATCAAGGAATCTCATTCTAATGGGGTCGTGGAGAAACTATGTTTCAGTGGGTGTGACACGTATAAGCAAGTTGGCGGCACGTTTTACTGTAATGAGACGATCAGTGTCGTCGTCACCGAGTCTAATGTTGTGGTTGGTGTGTGTGTGAAACATGAAACAGTCTCTATTAGTTCTCTGTAGTTCTGAAACTGTGAAGTAGATTTCTCAACACTAAGATGACTCATCCCGCTGCCACATTCAAAGCACACCGGCTCGTGATTTTGTTAAACTAACTGCCGCCACACAGACCTGCTTAGTTTAAAATCGATGTTCACAGCTCGCCAAAAGCACAGTTTATGTTCCCTGGATAAATTAAAAGCAGTCAGACCAATGATAAATACAGCAGAGTTATCCTGATTAGTGCTGTCAAGAGATTAAAAAAAAATAGAGATTAATTAATTATGATTTTTAATTAATTGATCTAATTAATCTCTTTTTTAATCTCACCTAAAAATAGCTGAGGAAAGCCCTCAACTTATTGTGGCAGACCAAAAGACTGATATAACAAAGAAAGTGACTTTATAAAGTCATTTATTGTTTAACAAACGTTAAACAGATGCAACCATTTACATACTGTTGTATTCTTTTGTAAAATAAGTGGAAAAATAAATACAAATAAAATCAAATAAATTAAGTGCTGCAAGTTAGCACATCAGAGTTGCTCTTTTCTGAGCAATACAGCACTGAAATTCCTCTGCTTCAGATAATGAAAAATAAAACTGACATTGCAGTGCTGCAAGTTAGCACATCAAAGTATTCTTCCATCACAAAAAAAAAGTGCTGAACATCAAGCAATCTATTCTAGTAGGCTACAAATGACACAGCAGCTATGCTGACCACATGTGTCTCATTTCTTCTTCCTCAGTCAGTCGCTAAGACACACCAGCCTGGTAACATTTTCTGGAAGCAAGGCTGCCCTTTTCTTTTGCACTATGTGGCCTGCAAGGCTAAAGAGTCTCTCACAGGGTACAGAGGTAGCTGGGGAGGCCAGGTACTTTTGTGCTAGGACTGACAGCTTTTCATAGACTCCTGAGTGAGCATACCACCACTGCAGGGGACAGTCATCAATACTGATGCTGGGTTCTGCTCTGTAGCGCTGCAGCTCTCCAGACTCAATTCCATCTTCTGAGTCAGACCCCAGAAGGAGTTCGCTCCTCCTCTTCTTCTGAGCTGGTCCATCATCCTCTGTGGAGGGCTGGAGACTATCTGCTCTTCTGGGCTCTGCTGCCTGGAGCATATTCTCCAGAATGGTCCACACCTGAATGAATGAATGAATGAATGATTGTGATTAAAACTAAGTGCTTTTTTTTTATTTTATTTAATCTTGTAAAGAACTTTGTGTTCCATATAATAAATAAAAGTTTGATTTGATAATGAATTGGACTCATTAGTCCAGCTTAACCTTATTGTCCTACCTGTTCCCTCTTTTCTCTTGGAAGACATTTCAAATCCTTAAACCGTGGATCCAATGCTGTGGCCACCTCGAACCATATCTCGTTGCCATTAGCTCGTCGTGCTGCCAGATCCTTCTGGAAGGCATTCTTGAACTTCACCACGTAGGCAGGATCATCATCAGTAATGTCCATGACACGGTACAGATGGCGAAAAGCAGGCAGCACTACAGAGCAAGAGACGTAGGCCTCACCACCCAGCAGCTCTGTCACATACCTGCAGAGGTGGAGAGGTTTGCTAAATAAACCTAGCTGGATTCATTTAAATCAAAGTGTAACTGATTTCCAATTTAATTGTCCTTAAAAGTTCCTTGTTATGTTCATTAATTTTGATTTTACACATGTAACAGTAGTTTATATAATTAAAATGGGAAGGTGTTTATTTGAACTTACTTGCATGGTTCAAGCAGGAGCTCCAGCCTCTGCAGTTTCGCCCACTCAGCTTCGGTTGGCAAGACCAACCTGTGGTTCTGTTGGTCCAACGTAGCCTGGACAGCCTCTCGGTTACATAGGAGGCGTGAGACCATTGCGAGAGTCGAGTTCCACCTGGTGGGTACATCCTGTATAAGTTGATCGCTCTTCTTTCCGAGTGCTACTTGTTGTTGGTTAAGTTCTGTGGTACTCGCAGGGCTTTGTTTAAAATGACCAACAATCTTGCGGCACTTTGCCAGTACACCGACAAAACCACTGCTATCGAGACATACCGTGATGGTCCTCTGGAGAATGTGAGCATTGCAGGCGATGTGCTCATATGGAAGTGCTCTCATAGCAGCCAGCATGTTTGCTGCGCTGTCTGTGCCAATGGTGGATATCTTGTTTTCAATACCCCAGTCATTTGCTACCTTGAGGAACTGTTCGGCGCATTTATCAGCAAAGTGCCTGGTTTCTGTTCTCATGACGGTCAGTGCAAATGAGTTGAGGTTCCACTCACTATCAATAAAGTGTCCAGTCACCCCAAAATAGCTGTGGTTGCCAGCTGAGGTCCAGTGATCTCCGGTTATAGCAAATCTCAAGTTTGTTTTTCTTTTCGCCGTCGTACATTTTGCTGATTTTGGTCGTTACTGTAGTCCTGCACGGCGGCTTGTATGACGGGTCATTGGACGCAATTTGCAACACCTCTGTCAATCCTTCGTCCTCTACTATATTTATCGGCCTACAGTTCATCGCTATCCACTTGGCAATAACATTAGTCAGCCTGTCGGTCGCAGACTTGCTCATACGAGGGGTATTCTCTAGTTTTGTTTGGCGAAAAGCTTTGCTCTGGCTTGCTATATTGCTAACGTCTTCACTGCTAGCTGTTGCTGCACTCGCGGCTGGGTGCTTTGCGTTGAGGTGATAAGCAAACTCCTTCTTACACTCTAGGCAGACCACTTTACCTTTGTCAATGGTGCCGTCGGGGCGTTTATGAAATACAAATTTCCCGTTCATTGGGCCAACAACTCTCAGATGCGCCTCCATATCCACACTGTAAGCTAATCACCACTTCTCACCTTGACCTCACGACGTGACTCCACCCCCAACAAGTCAAGCACAAGGAGCCCAGCACATAAAAACGGATTTTATAACATAGCAACTCTCATACAAAATCAATGACGTCAAGAGATTAAAAATTAGATTAACGAGATTAAAAAACATAACGCGCTAAATAGCATTGTAATTAATTAATCGCAATTAACGCGATAATTTGACACCCCTAATCCTGATGTTAATATATCACAATGAAGAGTTTGGCTTATTTAAGCTTTGGGAGGCTGCCTGTGCTTTACATTGATGCAACTTGAAAACACCTGAAATGCCAAGTCAAGAGCAGGCCTGGAAATATTAGAAGAATCATCAGTATCAGTGTCAGTCACTTAGGTCAAGTCCTCCTATTTAAAGGGGACCTATTTTGCTCGTTTACAGCTCTGTATGTCAGGTTTAGCTGTGCAGCTAGCGGTTGGAGACTCGGGACAAAGGAGCAGGACATAAAGTGAGCCTTTAATGCTGATTTTACTGAGTAATAAACTAATTTCAAAACACCGGGGAATCCAAACATCCAGAAGTCCAGGAGTCACGCAGAGGACACACAGCTGAGAGGGACAACACAAAGACAAGGGCAGACAACAAGACGAGACTAGGAGGAAACACGCCAGAACAAATCAGGAATAACAAGATACAGGAAGCAGAACTCAATATAAAGCAAAGAACACCGAGACAGGAAACACAGAGAAGGTGAAACAGTCCCTGCAAACACAAACAACTTCAACATCATTCTAATTGTTAAATCATCAACAAGAAATCAAACATGAAAGTCCAAAACTCAGGATGTAGGACCGAAGCCCTGCACTGTTTTTATTCTGGTTCAAAATAATTAGTAATGATCTCATACTGGGCCACTGTGCAGCCTCTCAGTTCAGTCCAGACATCAGACCTGTGCCTTTAAGACTGCCATCACTTTCTTCTGATTGGCTGCCACTCACAAACAGACGGTTTGTGCTCATGGAGCGATGAGAGGGCTTATTAAGCACAAACTGTCATTCGCTGCTTTACTTGCTCTGCTACTTTTTAAGATGAAAGCATCCAGACTATTTATCGGACACATACAAAGAACTCGATTCTGCTTCAGTAACAGCGTGAGACACATCCACGTGTCTGCTACTGTAACCGTGCTGTTCTACAAAAACCACACAGGCACAAAATTAGATAAGCAGATTTTAATGTAGCTCAAAATATTTCCCCACCTGCTTTATTCAGTTTGAAGCATTAACTCATACATAGCAGTGCATCACCTGCTTGTAGTCTTTCAGAAGGGTGGGTTTTCCCCGTCACACGTATTCCTGCATCCACACTGTGTGCTGGATAAATATGTGAATCTGTGTTTGAAGGTGTTTCTGGAATATCACTGACTTGGATAATAATCTATGGATGAGGGTAGTGATTAGTGAAGTAATGGGCTATGAGACAAAGGGACGATCCCACAGGACCAAACGTGCCTCAGCGCAGCTGCTCGTGCTGAAAATTACATCACAGGTGATCCGTTTTTCTCTTGATACTACAGCAGACTACAGTGTATACTCTCTCAGTGGAAACAGTAAACACTCGACTACGTCCACGCAAGCACCCTCACGCGCGCCGATTTCTGTGTGTGTGTGAACATGCGTGAACGGGTGATCTTTTTGCTGTGAACATGTGAGCTCGGGTCTTCACACACACTCGGTGATTCAGTGTGATAGCTGTGCATATGCAGAACAGTTGTGGTCCTCCAACACACAACTGCTGGCTCGAGCAGCGCTAATGTAGACAGCGAGCCCATCCATCCATGCAGAGCAGTGGACCGAAACTTTGTGCATCGCCAGCCCTGCTTCGCTCTTTGACCTCTTGGTGGGATGACGGCAAACAAGGTCACTTTAAAGTCAGTGTCTCATAATCCAGCAGGCGCTATGTTCTGTAGTCTATATTCTCTAAAGTACCCTACAAGCAGGGAACAGAGAAGAGCAAAGACTGAAAAACTAGATTAGTGTTTTGTTATTGTTATCACATCGAACTTTAGCTGTGTGTCAAATTTCCCTTTCTGCTGACATGAGAAGTGTGCAAGAAAGTCATACAAGTATACAACTCTCATTTTTCCTCCGGGTAAGTGCAGGAACGTGTATTTGATGGGCAAACGCCCATCGAGGTTTCCTCTGCAGCCATAACAGACACAAATCAAATGCTTCGTGCACACATAATGGAGAAGGCCAGGATGAAAGATAAAGGAGGCCTCGCTGATATCACACTGCTGATATCAAGTTAATCAAACTACCAGCAAGCATGAAAAATTCTGCACAGTTCAAGGATCCCTCAGCCAGCCCACATCAGCTGACACATCTCATACAGGGTATGCTGGGCCTCTTTAACAGCCCACCTCCACCCAAGCTCTTTCTCCATCTGTAATTGTTCTATTTGGATTCATATTTCTGAGAATACGCAAAACTTTCAATAGTAAGAACAGAAGAGCATGTGATGTCCAAAGATGATGTCCTGTAATAAGCTTTATACTAGATGTATAAACTTACATGGACTATAGCACAGGTCTTCCAGTATGTGCTTTTGTGGCTTCACGCACTAGCATCTTTTGTTCGAGTGGCCTGATTGCATAGTTTGAATCTAATGCTAGCTGGCATCCTCAGATCACATGCAGCTCCCTTTAAAGGCACATGAAGACTCATCACTACTGCACAACGTGTGCGCTGCAGTCACTGTTGGATATTTCGTCTTTTGTGAACACAATATCAAGCTCGCCATTTGTTTATTTATTATTTTGAATTCCTGCAAACCTGGCTAATATGGCAACAATGTCTCCCAGAAGGCGGTGGGGGTTTGGAGGGGAGGTGGGGTGTCTCTTGTGGATTTCTGCTTTCCTCAACTCCGACTAAATCCCCTCATGGCATGGGTTCTTGTCAAACTGCAGTTTCTGGACACCCCCCTCCCCATATCTGTAGTTTGAATAGCTGTAGATAAAAGCAGATTCTCAAACAGACACACACACAGTCGAGAGATTAAAAACCTAAGCTCAGAGTACACTCTGAAGTCTCCTTGTGTCATAGATTAACACTAAAGGCTTGTGCGTTTGTGTGTGTGCAGAGCATATGTCAGCAACCCCACAGCAGTTGCTTGTGTGGCTGTTTCATTGCAGCATTTATATTTCAAGTCCCTTCTGAGGCAGAGGGAGCTGAAGACGAATAGAAGGGGAGGCAGGAAGGGAGGCTGAGAAAGATCAAGACAAAGGGTAAAAAGAGAGACAAAAATGAGACGATGAAGGAGATACGGGGAGAGAAAGAGAGAAACAAAGATATCCGAGGGAGAGGCAGCAACAAACCTAAGAGCTGATGGTGTTGATGAATTTTGTTGCAAAAGGCTGCAGTTAGAAAGAGGAGGAGGAAGAAGGAGGGAGAAAGATTGAGGCTGAAGAAATCTACTCCTTTGTTATGTCTTAGTGGGAAATGTCAAAGCTGGAGAGAAAAAGGTCAAGAAGGAAGCCAACCTGTCAGCAGGCAGATATCAAACACACACAGATGCCCTCATACCATTCAAATCATACTCACACTATATGGGTATAAATACATACATGCACACCTGCAGACATGCAGGTTGCTTAGATAGATGTTAAATGGATGGAATAATCCAAGGTTTCCTTATGATAGACCTCTGATGAGACACTCGTCCATGGTGGGAGCCCTTTTTGATTGCACAGATACAACACGACAAACGTGACATACGCTCATCAGGCATAACATTATGACCACCTAACATCATGCAGTAGTATCTGCACCAAGATGTTAGCAACAGATCCTTTAAATCCTGTAAGTTGTGAGGTGGGGTCTCCATGGATCGGAGCTGTTTGTCCAGCACATTCCACAGATGCTCGATTGGACGGAGATCTGGGGAATTTGGAGTCAGCACCTCAAATTTGTGCTCCTCAAACCATTCCTGAATCATGTTTGCATTTAAGGTAAATGATCCTGCTGGAAAAGGCCACAGCCGTCAGGGAATACTGTTTCCATGAGAGGGTGTACATGGTCTGCAACAATGCTTAGATGGCAGGAACCAAGGTTTCCCGGCAGGACATGGTCCGAAGCATCACACTGCCTTGCCTTCTTCCCATAGTGCATCCTGGTGTCAGAGGTTCCCCTGGTGAGCAGTGGCTTGGTCTGAATCGTCAAACCAGGGCTCCTTCTTCCATTGCTCTGTGGTCCAGTAGCTCACGAGCCTACTGTTGGTGCTTTCTGCAGTGGACAGGGGTCATCATGGACACCCTGACCGGTCTGCAGCTAGCCAACTGTAATGCATTTGCTCTGACACCTTCCTAGCAGAACCATCATTAACCTTTTCAGCAATCTGAGCTACAGTAGCCTGTCTGCTGGACTGGACCACACCATCCAGGCTTTATTCCCCACAAGCATCACGGGGCCTGTCGTCTTCTAGCCATGGCAACATGGCCTGTGTCAAACTCGCTGAAATCCTCTGACTTGACCATTTTTCTTGTTTCTA